AAAATGTCTTTGATCTTTTTGTCTAATTGGAGGTTCTTGTAATCCTTTTTAAATTATGAATAAGTGTGTGGAATATTGATTGTGGTTAAAAACCATGGGAATCCTGATTGTTGTTTTTACTTTTCTTGTATGTGAGAAGTGTTACGATTTATCTGGATAGTTTTATTTAGTGTTTCTTTTATTATTTTATTGGGTATTTACATTTTAGAATATATATATATATATATATATATATATATATATATATATATATATATATATATTTTATATATATATATATATATAATTATTTATTTAAAATAAGCGAAATTCCCAAAAAAATTTCGCTTGAAGATGGAACAGAGCTTAGTACTTTTAATTCAATTTAATTCAAATAATTATATTGAAGTCTTCGGCTCTTGTTTTGAAACATGAGACCTCTTATGACGCGAGTTGGAATCATATTTTTAAATAAATAATTATATTTATGCTCTACTTTTTGTATCGAGCACTATTTTTTAAAATAATAACTAAAATACTAAAAGGAACTTTGGATTATTTACCTAACCAGTTCCTTCCTATTTTCTATATATTTTCACATATTATATATATATATATATATATAAGTATAGAATATGTTGTCTTTTTTTAATGGCCGTGGACATATATTTCCTGTTTCGTTCGTGTTTTTGCGTGTTTATATATCTAAATATGTCTATGTGTTTGTGTATTATAATCAGATTGTGTATGTATTGTCTTTTGCATAATTTCATCCTCCCCCTGCCCATATCATCCCTTCAAATGGATCTAAGTTGTAACAAAGATTTACATCCATATTAGATTTCAACGTCTATTCTTTGTTTTTGGCCTTACAATTAAGACAAAATAAATAACAAAATATTTGTATTTTTTCCTCAGTTTCTCCTTTAAATAATTTTATAATTATTTAAATTTAATACAGATTAAGTTTCAAATTTAAAATTGGTAAATTTTCATTTTCAATTTTAGAGTAAAGTTTAATATTAATTAATTAGAATGCTTTCTATTTTAGTCTAACCTTAACATTAAAGCATTAATTATTATAAGCAAGGTTCGTTGTCAAGTTTTTTGAATTCTCATATACTTGTATTTTGATTGGTCATTGCAGCTTATGTAACGGCGTTTCCGCTATTGGCGTGTGTTTGACTGATTTGAACCTTTTAAAACTTTTTATTCTACATTCAACACCATCACTGGATAAGACACCAGAAGTGTTAAAACAAAATAGCTATTTTTGTCGTGATTTTATAGCATATTTATGTTATAATTTTCAAATAAATTTTATATATATATATATATATATATATATATATATATATATATATATATAAAGAAATGATGTGATTTTAGTAATTAATCTGAGAGATTTTATGAGTTAAACGTTATTTTTAGTGGATACACATATTTCAATAGACGCTCTGTTTATTTATTAAAGAGTATATTTATTTATTTTCGTCTACCGGCTTGAATATTGAAGAAACCTTAGTAAATAAATATATGCTCTTTCCGGCAGGATTCGAACCAACGTCACCCTGGGCAGGAGAAACCATCGTTAAAATCAGGCCGGTAGACAAAAATAAATAAATATAATATTTAATAAATAAATGACCGGCTACTGAAATAAGAGTATCCACTAAAGATAACGTTTCCCGAAACTGTATATAATTTTGTTTTTTTTAAAATTAATGATATTTCTAAAAATAATTTAGAAAAATATGTGCACGTCTCCATGAATAATTGAACATATATGTAATTATATATATATATATATATATATATATATATATATATATATATATATATATATATATATATATATATTCAGGAATTTTCTTATTTATACATATTTATTCATTTATGGAAAGGAGATAATTTGAAAGTTATATTTTAATGTATAAATGTACGTTTTTTATATATATTCTGTGTGACGTATCACTTTCAAATACTAATTTATGTATTTCGTATTTCTTCCATTCCTCTCCTTCTCTCTTTCGCTATCGTTTTCTCCCTCTCTCTCTACCCCTCTCTCTCTCTCTCTCTCTCTTTCGTTACACACACGCACACACAAATATACATATATTTATATTCACATATATATATATATATATATATATATATATATATATATATATATATATATATATATATATATATATATATATATATATATATATATATATATATACGTCTATTTATATAAATATATTCGTATATATATATATATATATATATATATATATATATGTACGTGTATATATATATAAATATATTCGTATATATATATATATATATATATATATTAATTACAATATCGAACGTTTCTTGGTCATGGTATATTTTTCTAGCAGTTAATTGGGGGACGATTAAATTTAATGCACTAAATTTATTTCCACTTTTTTATAAAATGTAAACTAACCATTTTCTTGCGTTTTCCTTCAGTCCGCTAAATAATGGCGAATTCTCGTAATTACGTTGATTGAATGTCCTTTATTTTTATAAACAAACCTATTCTTTGCCTACAAATTTGTGCCAAATCATGACTTCTGTTCAAAATCGATCAATCGGTTCGCTTCTATTGATCATCGTCAATCATTTTTTTTTATCTGTCATTCAACCAATCTTAGTCTTTTTTTAAAACGGGTGCCTGCCTCTGGGTTGAAATAATAATGCCATCAGTGTAGGTGATCGATGTTCGATCTCAGGTAAAGGTGGACAGGTTTTTGTCTTCCTTTGTGAAGGGGTTCGCTCTTTTCTTCAGAAGTTTATCGATTTATATAGAAGCTAAATACGTGACGTAATTAAGTTTCAGCAAGGTTGGCTATCCAGTAAATAGGGAAATTTGTTCATGAACAAATTATACAAATAAAGAATTGTCATCGTTTCATCGACGCGAAATCATAAAGGGCGACTAAGTTTGGGTAGGATCTCGTGTATTGGCGCTCATATGAGAGTTATTGAGACGTTTAATAGATAGATAGATAGATAGATAGATAGATAGATAGATAGATAGATAGATAGATAGATAGATATAAATGACCAGCGATAGATAGATAGATAGATAGATAGATATAAATGACCAGCGATAGATAGATAGAAAATGAAAAGACTGAAATAGATTGTCACACACAACAAAATGAACAAAAACCGACAATTATTTTAATATTTTTTATTGTTATACGTTATTTATATAAAGGCAAATATTTAAGTAAATGCTCTGTTTATAATTACCGGCCTGAACTCTCGAAAAATTTTCCTAAAAAATATCTTTCCTCCGACAGGAATCGAACCTGTAACCTACATAGAACCATCATATAGCCTGACGTGTTATACCAGTTTAGCTATAACAGTTTAAAATATAATAAAATACATACATACATACATAGAAATAGACTGTGGCAGATAGATAGATAGATAGATAGATAGACAGATAGATAGATAGATAGATAGATAGATAGATAGATAGATAGAATTGAACAGACTGGATAGATAGATAGATAGATAGATAGATAGATAGATAGATAGATAGTGAAGAGACTGAGATAGATAGATAGATAGATAGATAGATAGATAGATAGATAGATAGTGAAGAAACTGAGATAGATAGATAGATAGATAGATAGATAGATAGATAGATAGACAGACAGACAGACAGACAGATAGATAGATAGATAGATAGATAGATAGAAGTCTCTAAAATATATAACTGAAACTGTGCAAAAGAAAATTTAATGATCGTGTATTAGATTCTAAATGGGAACTCAATTGTTTGGCCTTGTGACAGACTAAAATAATCTTAGTAAATATAGCTACAGATATTCGAAGGAAATGCTGCAATATTATTGGCCCGTCCTCCTTCCTCCCAAAATTCGCGAGATTTTTTTTATGGTTTCTCCCTTTTGTATTCAATCGACAATTCTCAACTTGTATACATACACATTTCTTTTTAGGGAAAGCCTTTGCGTGTGTGAGTGTGTTTGTTGGGGCGTTGGTTCTCCGTTGGTCAGAATGCAGGCAGGTCTTTACAAAAACAGGGTCATCTTCATCAGTTTTTTTTGTTTTTTTTTTGTTTTTTTTTAAGCATTTCACCCCAAGCAAGGCGGAAAGCCACTAGGACGCAAGGGGTTACAGAAAATATAGAGCAAGATCAGATAGGAGTGATAGAAGAAAGGAGGAGGGTAGTGGATAGATCAAGGCAACTGGAGATGTCGATTGACATTACACTTGAATAGATGGAGATTATAGCTATCAGGGAAACTGGAATAGGGAAGGGAGTTCCACAGGTGAGAGGTGCGAGACATGAAGCTATTGGAGTAGAAGAGACGGCTACATTTAGGAGTTTCAACAGTGAAAGGGTGAGAGCGGGATGCCAGCCTCGTAGGGCGCTTGAACTCATGAAGTCTGGGAACCAGCGAATGCAGCTCCTCGGAGCAATTGCCATGAAAGTATTTGTAGAACAGACAGAGAGAGTGTATCCGCATATTCCGTGGTGACATTCATCTTCATGTGTGAATTTTTCATCGATTATGTGTTTACTTTTCTTCGTGATTTTCTGTCCTCTTTTACGTCAGCGAATGTTGGTCGATCTCCTCATAGGTGAAGAAGAGACTCGAGTCAATAGAGGTATGTTTCCACAGGAGGATGCTCAGGATTCCATGGACCGAACATGTGAGCAACGATGAGGTTTTGGAGAGGATGCAAACAAAGAAGAAACTTATACTTAATATCAGGAAGAGGCAAATGAAATTTCTGGGATACGTAATGAGAAAGGAGGGCTTGGAAAATCTAATACTCACAAGGCGGATAGAAAGAATGGGGGACAAGGGAAAGCAACGCGTGACATACTTAATGGACTTAAGCAAGTGGATGGTAGAACAGGGATAGGAAAAATGGAGAGCTATGACCGCCTACGTCCTGAAGGGACACGGCGCATAAAAGAACAGAATATGTGTACGCAAGACAACAATGGAACAATAATAATAATAATGTGTGCATATCCTTTTTCTTCTAGATTCTTCCTTTTATCATTGCTCCAATTCGGGTCCATCTTTTATCTTTCTTTTTCTTTCTGTATTGCTAGTCTTCTTATTATTTTATATTCGTTTCCCTCTCTTTTCTTGAAATTTATTCGCTTATCCATTTCGTTCTCTGTCTCACACTCCAATTCCTCTCACTTTTCCTCTACTTCTTCTTCTTCCTCCTCCTCCTTCTCCTCACCCAACCACCCCTTCTTTTTCCTTATCTCTTCCTTCTCCTCACCCAACCACCACTTCTTTTTCTTTATCTCTTCCTTCTCCTCACCCAACTACCCCTTCTTTTTCTTTATCTCTTCCTCCTCCTCACCCAACCACCCCTTCTTTTTCTTTATCTCTTCCTTCTCCTCACCCAACCACCCCTTCTTTTTCCTTATCTCTTCCTTCATCACTAAAAAATATCAGTCGCCGATGTGCCGATAAAGTTCCGGACCTGAGAAAATTCCGCCCGTCGCTGATTAACCAACTAACACCCCTATTTCCTTCCGCTTAAACTCTCCAACCTTCACACCTCCCCCCCTGCCATCAATCCCTCCCTCCCCTAAACCCATCCCTGCATCTCCACCCAAGCATTTTTACACTCTCTTTTCCCTCGGCATCATTGACTAACCCGACCAACTAACTCGACAATCAGATGAACAAAAAAAATGAAAAACAAAACACACAAAAAAAAACAGCCCAGTAGATTACCGCGCATGCGCCCAAACCGCAAAGGTGTCAAAACAACACACAAGGAGACAGCAGAGACGCCTACAGCTAACCAGGGCCGGTAACCGCCGCTGGTAATGGGCTTAAGAAAGTAGCACAGAGCGGTAACGAGTACTGTATTAGGGTCGATACGAGCGTAAACCCGCAAAAGTGTCGACAGAACCCCAAACGAAAGCTCCTTTTCAATCTTCTAAAATTCGCCGAAGGGGCCTTTTTTTCCGGACGAACAATTGTAACAGCTTGATAGCTAGTTTAGCAATGACGTGCATTTGTCCATGCCTTTCCTTGTTTTCATTGGCCTATAAAAAAAAAAAAAGAAGTAAGAACATGACGCAAATCTCGTTGTCCTTCAATGTTATTTCGTCGAATAACTTGTTTAACAAAATTCTAACCTGGCAAATGCAAATACGTTACAATTATACGTAAGCTGTTTCTTAATTGTCGGACATTTGCTTTTATTCGAGAAGGTAAAATACTTACAGTATTAAAGCAAAAGCATACGTTGGTATTATCAGTCTTGCACAAGGTTGTTTTTGGTCTAGAATAAGGATTATTCAGTTTATCTTAACAATCATTATCCCCGAGACTCGCGCGCTAACCATTGTGCCATGACATATACACAAAGGGGTGCTTAAAAGCAGTTGGCCTAAACCAAATCCAAGAATAAAAACAGAACATCAAATTTTGCAACTGCACCTCCTCTTACACACACACACACAAACACATACACATATATATGAAGAAATATAGTTTTAAGGTATGCTATATTTATGAGGTAAAGTGTTCAATATGTGTACGTCAATATAAAAGTAGACATTGAAGACTCAGAGGCGACAGACTGTTTCATGCTAAACGCAATCATCAGGCCTGATGATTGCGTCTAGCATGAAACAGTCTCTCGCTTCTGATTATTGACTTCAATGTTCACTTTTATATATATATATATATATATATATATATATATACAAGGTGGCAATAAAGTTACAATACATTTACTTACAATAACAATTATTTTTAACCTGTATATATTGTTGTATCGTCGAGGTGAATATTACACAGAGAAGAATGAGTGTTTAATGTATTTATTCAGCACCAGTGTCTGCTGCTGACGGATGCATACAAAAAACGCAGAACAATAAGTTACAAAACAATTAACAAGACAACTTACAAGCAATAGAGGAGGGTCAAATGCTGTATAGCCAAACGAAGTAAGATCAGTCTGAATATTAATCAGCTTCGTATTAACTTATTAATCAACTATTGAAGTCCTTAATTGTAGACTATTTAAGGCTATGAGCCAGGCCATCTGGTAGAGTACTGAAGGGCTGCTAGCTACTCTACAACACACACACATATATATATATGTGTGTGTGTGTGTGTGTGTGTGTGTGTGTGTGTGTGTGTGTGTTTCGCCTGATGTTTGTTGTTACATGAAACTCTGAGTAACGGATTTTGGTATCGATAATATTATTTTATTATATTTTGGCTTGTTGACCTAGGCTTTGACCCCTCAATTTATTTTATATTTAAGCTTTTAGCTTATTTAAAGCTTTAGCTTTTATTCTTTCTATTTGTACACACACACACACACATATATATATATATATATATATATATATATATATATATATCAGAATTCGACTGGGAATTCGAACTCGGTTCTATCCACTAGTCCACCAAATCCATTAGATTCACTTACGTGCTAATACCCTTGGGAAAGGTATGAATCCTCTTCCTCTCCTTCCAGCTATGTGTAAAATAGCAGGACAGACTGGGTTCTATAGCCTTGGATGGCAACTGGTCTAGGAGAAGGACAACTCTGAATTCAAAACCTGCAGAGGGTCGTTTGGGGACCTTGTGGCATTCGGTGCACCAGGTCTCTGTATTCGTCCCTTCAAAAAGTGTGTATGGTCCTGCAAACCTGTGTGTGTGTGTGTGTGTGTGTGTGTGTGTGTGTGTGTGTGTGTGTGTGTGTGTGTGTGTGTGTGTAACGAATGCACGGCCGCAATTTTCGACGGACTTTGCATTTCCCAACTCCCATCGATAGTGGAAATAATCGATTTTTTCGTGCTTCTACGGCAGTTTTCATGTGGTTTGCGGCCATTTTGTACTGGCCAGAATGAGAGCCTATAGCTGACTGCCACGAATAGGCAGGAAGATTCTATTGGCCAGCGTGAGAGCCAACAGCTGACTGACACGAATGTTAACTAGCATGCTTGCATGCAAAAAATCGATAGCTGCATTCGTCACAAGTGGGAAAGATTTAAATCTGCATGGCACTTTACTCCAATTGGCTCATTCGCTTGCTTAAACTCAACGTTGATTCTGATTCCGCAGAACTGGGTTTGGGTGTGAAAAAGTATTTTGTTGTTAACATTCTTTTTTTTTCATTCGGTTTTCCAGTTACGAGTCCTTTTTTAAAGCTGATCGTTTTGTGTTCATTTTGTTTAGTTCTTTTTTCGCAACAGATTTAATGTTTAGTATAGAGCTTGAAAAAAATTCGCAGAGATAGGCAAGATGTAAGACATGTAGCAACATCAGCACGGCAAAGGCACTCCTTTAAAAAGGCAAGGAAGGGCAAAAATATTTTAAGTCAAGTGATAGCGATTGCTGTATGAGTCGTACGATTTTTAATCAAGCACAGGCAACGCCGGGCCATGCTGCTAGTATGTATATATACTTGTAGGTATGCATATATATATATATATATATATATATATATACACGCACATATATATATATATATATATATATATATATATATATATATATATATATATATGCGCGTGCGTGTGTTTCATTGAATACGACAGACAAGGTGCTTTGATTTAGTCTTTTATACAATTTCTCATGTGATCTAATAATTTTTTCTATTCAGATAAATTATATAAAACTGTCCGAATGTTCTTTTTATCCGAGCGCTTTCGGCTATACATTTATCCATTTTCAAGGTTGAAATATATTAACTTTTAACAAGAAATAGATCGTTGCATATATGTATTTATTTAATGTTTTCACTTTCAAAAAGCGGTCAAGATATAGTTCAATGATATATATATATATATAATTACATGAATCATTCATACAAAAAACAAATATAGAAGTTAATGATTTAAATGGCGAGAATACATCTTCGCAAACAATTTTAATAAAGTACACTAACCCCGAACCTGTATATGAATGATATGATCCCTGTTTATAAATTCCAGTTGCATAAGGTCTTTTTTAGTTTTTATAAGCTTTCGGCTGTTCCTACAGACATCTTCAGGTATGTCAATATAAAAGTGGACATTTGTGTTGTGTATGAATGATTCATGTAATTCTAAATTGAACTGCACCTACACTTGATATATATATATATATATATATATATATATATATATATATATATATATATATATATATATATATATATGTCTGTGTTTGTGTATATGTGCGGATGTTTATATATTTGTATATTGATTTTCCATGTTTGTGTAATTTTGACGGGTAGTTTGCGTTGTCTTTGTAGTTATTTGGGTGATTGAATCTTGATGAGTCTGTTTATTTGTTGTCCGTATATTTGAGTTCTTATATATTCAATCATATATACATGTTTGCGTATTATCATGTGATGTCACTCTGTCTTGTCACCAATAAACCTTTCTCCCTCGTCCACTAAATCTCTAATCACAACCTTGTCAATGTAACTAATTTTGTAGCCATATATTTCACCTCTTACTTCCGCTCAGATTCGAACGGAAAACTTAACATATTAATAGGCACAATACATGAAAATTTAGACATATTTTATCCGTTATTTTTTTTCTTTGAATAATTTTGTAATTTTCTAAATTTGATGCATGTTTATTTTTCTAGTTTAATATTCGTATCTTTTATTTTTTAATTACATAATAATTTGGAGATTAATTAGTTATCTTGATTCCCTATATAATCTAATATTAATTTTAAAATTTTAAAAAATGGCATCTAGGGTCCGTTGTCGCGTTATTTAAATTATCATATACTTGTAATTTGAATGGCCATTAGACCTTACGTAAAAATATCCTCCCTTAGTGAGGGTAGTGGTTAGTTTTGAACCCTTCAATTTTTTTTTATTTTACAATCAACACCATCACTTGACAAGACACCAGAGGTGTTGAAACAAAATGACTATTTTTGTAGTAATGTGATAACATACTTATGTTATAATTTCTTAATGAATATTATGTGTGTGTGTGTGTGTGTGTGTGTGTGTGTGTGTGTGTGTGTGTGTGTGTGTGTGTGTAATAAGATATAAATAGAAAGAAGTCTAGTGTATTTTGAACAATTTTTCTGTAAATTCTAAAAGTTATTTATTCGTACTTCTAAGTGCTAAAATATTTTTGTTAAAATAGTTATTGTTACTGTTTTATCTCAAAAGAAAAGCCACTGATCGAAAATGTGTTCAATAAGTAATTTATCTTCGATATGACGGCTTTTGATATTCTTTCTGCTTACCGTGGTCAGTAGAGAAAGGTTTCACAAAAATAACAATATGGACGGATAGGAAGAAAACGAGGCAATTCAAAAAAAAAAAAACAAGACCTGAAAGAAAGGAGTGAAAGCGGTTGAAGCCACGACATGAAAGACTATCGGGTGTCAGATTATGTCCAGGATGGCTGCACAATTCACCTGGCCTCAGATCCTGTGGCTGATTTAGTGCGAACCTCAGGTGGCACGAGACAGTAATCGCA